AGCAATCCAACCCTCTTTTCTTTGTTTAGAATGAAATGTTTCCGTTTCTCATCACCTTGATTAGCTTTTTGGAATGCTTCTTTCTCTAGTCCAATGCATTTTGAACGTTCGGATCTCGGTGCCGCATATCACATAGCAATCCATTTTTTCTTTCTCCTAGTCAATCCGTGTTCGGATCTCGGTGCCGCATATCCCACACCTTTCTTTGTTTAGAACGAAATGTTTTGTTTCTCATCACCTTGATTAGCTTTTGAACGCTTTCTTTCAAAAATCTATCTCGTCCGCAATTTTTCGGAATGCTTCACATAGCTCCAACCCTCTTTTCTTTCTTTAGAATAAATGTTTTCCGTTCTCATCACCTTGATTAGCTTTTGGAATGCTTCTTTCTCTAGTCAATGCATGTTCGGATCTCGGTGCCGCATATCACATAGTAATCCAACCCTCTTTTCTTTGTTTAGAACGAAATGTTTCCGTTTCTGAGCACCTTGATTAGCTTTTGGAACGCTTCTTTCGCTAGTCCAATGCATTGTTCGGATCTCGGTGCCGCATATCATAGCAATCCAACCCTCTTTTCTTTGTTTAGAATCCAATGTTTCCCTCATTTTAGCTTTTTGAATGTTTAGAACTAGTCAAATCCGTGTTTCTCAGTGCCGCATATCACATAGCAATCCAACCATTTTTCTTTTGTTTAGAATGAAATGTTCTTTTCATCACCTTGAATGCTTCTTTCTCTAGTCCAATGCATGTTCGGATCTCGGTGCCATATATCACATAGCAATCCAACCTCTTTTTCTTTGTTTAGAATGAAATGTTTCCGTTTCTCATCACCTTGATTAGCTTTTGGAATGCTTCTTTCTCTAGTCCAATGCATGTTCGGATCTCGGTGCCGCATATCACACAGCAATCCAACCCTCTTTTCTTTTGTTTAGAACGAAATGTTTCCGTTTCTGAGCACCTTGATTAGCTTTTTGAACGCTTCTTTCGCTAGTCCAATGCATTGTTCGGATCTCGGTGCCGCATATCACATAGCAATCCAACCCTCTTTTCTTTTGTTTAGAAACCTTTGAAATTTTTGAATGCTTCTTTCGTTCAATGCATGTTTCTCATCACCTTGATTAGCTTTTTCCGAATGCTTCTTTTTCTAGTCCAATGCATGTTCGGATCTCGGTGCCGCATATCACATAGCAATCCAACCCTCTTTTCTTTGTTTAGAACGAAATGTTTCCGTTTCTCATCACCATGATTAGCTTTTGAATGTTTTTCGTTTCATTGTTCACCTTGATTAGCTTTTGAATGCTTCTTTCTCTAGTCCAATGCAGGTCCAATGTTCGGATCTCGGTGCCGCATATCACATAGCAATCCAACCCTTTTTCTTTTGTTTAGAATGAAATGTTTCTGTTTTTTCATCACCTTGATTAGCTTTTTTGAACGCTTCTTTCGCTAGTCCAATGCATTGTTCGGATCTCGGTGCCGCATATCACATATGAATCCAACCTCTTTTCTTTGTTTAGAATGAAATGTTTCCGTTTCTCATCACCTTGATTAGCTTTTTTTGAATGCTTCTTTTTCTAGTCCAATGCATGTTCGGATCTCGGTGCCGCATATCACTATAGCAATCCAACCCTCTTTTCTTTGTTTAGAACGAAATGTTTCCGTTTCTGAGCACCTTGATTAGCTTTTGGAACGCTTCTTTCGCTAGTCCAATGCATTGTTCGGATCTCGGTGCCGCATATCTTGTTTATCATGATTAGCTTTTCTTTTTCTAGTTTAGCAATCCAATTAGCCTCTTTTCTTTGTTTAGAATGAAATGTTTAGAATGAAATGTTTCCGTTTTTCATCACCTTGATTAGCTTTTTGGAACGCTTCTTTCTAGTCCAATGCATTGTTCGGATCTCTTTGGTGCCGCATATCACATAGCAATCCAACCCTCTTTTTTCTTTGTTTAGAATGAAATGTTTCCGTTTCTCATCACCTTGATTAGCTTTTGGAATGCTTCTTTTCTAGTCCAATGCATGTTCGGATCTCGGTGCCGCATATCACATAGCAATCCAACCTCTTTTCTTTGTTTAGAACGAAATGTTTCCGTTTCTGAGCACCTTGATTAGCTTTTGGAACGCTTCTTTCGCTAGTCCAATGCATTGTTCGGATCTCGGTGCCGCATATCACATAGCAATCCAACCCTCTTTTCTTTGTTTAGAATGAAATGTTTCCGTTTATCAGCACCTTGATTAGCTTTTGAATGCTTCTTTCGCTAGTCCAATGCATTGTTCGGATCTCGGTGCCGCATATCACATATAGCAATCCAACCCTCTTTTTCTTTGTTTAGAATGAAATGTTTCCGTTTCTCATCACCTTGATTAGCTTTTGGAACGCTTCTTTTCTAGTCCAATGCATTTTCGGATCTCGGTGCCGCATATCACATAGCAATCCAACCCACTTTTTCTTTGTTTAGAATGAAATGTTTCCGTTTCTCATCACCTTGATTAGCTTTTGGAATGCTTCTTTCTCTAGTCCAATGCATGTTCGGATATCGGTGCCGCATATCACATAGCAATCCAACCCTCTTTTCTTTTGTTTAGAATGAAATGTTTCGTTTCTGAGCCCTTGATTAGCTTTTGGAATGCTTCTTTCTCTAGTCCAATCCGTGTTCGGATCTCGGTGCCGCATATCACATAGCAATCCAACCCTCTTTTCTTTGTTTAGAACGAAATGTTTCCGTTTCTCATCACCTTGATTAGCTTTTGGAATGCTTCTTTCTCTAGTCCAATGCATGTTTCGGATCTCGGTGCCATATATCACATAGCAATCCAACCCTCTTTTTCTTTGTTTAGAATGAAATGTTTCTTTTGGAACGTTTCTCATCACCTTGATTAGCTTTTGGAATGCTTCTTTCTCTAGTCCAATGCATGTTCGGATCTCGGTGCCGCATATCACATAGCAATCCAACCCTTTTTCTTTGTTTAGAATGAAATGTTTCCTTTGTTTAGAATGAAATGAGCACCTTGATTAGCTTTTGGAACGCTTCTTTCATCTATTCCAATGCATTGTTCGGATCTCGGTGCCGCATATCACATAGCAATCCAACCCTCTTTTCTTTGTTTAGAATGAAATGTTTGTTTCTCATCACCTTGATTAGCTTTTGAATGCTTCTTTTTCTAGTCCAATGCATGTTCGATCTCGGTGCCGCATATCACTTAGCAATCCAACCCTCTTTTTTCTTTGTTTAGAACGAAATGTTTCCGTTTCTGATCACCTTGATTAGCTTTTTGGAACGCTTCTTTCTTCAGTCCAATGCATTGTTCGGATCTCGGTGCCGCATATCACATAGCAATCCAACCTCTTTTCTTTGTTTAGAATGAAATGTTTCCGTTTTTCATCACCTTGATTAGCTTTTGGAACGCTTCTTTCGCTAGTCCAATGCATTGTTCGGATCTCGGTGCCGCATATCACATAGCAATCCAACCCTCTTTTCTTTGTTTAGAATGAAATGTTTCCGTTTCTCATCACCTTGATTAGCTTTTGGAACGCTTCTTTCGCTAGTCCAATGCATTGTTCGGATCTCGGTGCCGCATATCACATAGCAATCCAACCCTCTTTTCTTTGTTTAGAATGAAATGTTTCCGTTTCTCATCACCTTGATTAGCTTTTGGAATGCTTCTTTCGCTAGTCCAATGCATGTTCGGATCTCGGTGCCGCATATCACATAGCAATCCAACCCTCTTTTCTTTGTTTAGAACGAAATGTTTCCTTTTCTGATCACCTTGATTAGCTTTTTGAACGCTTCTTTCGTCTAGTCAATGCATGTTCGGATCTCGGTGCCGCATATCACATAGCAATCCAATCCTCTTTTTCTTTGTTTAGAACGAAATGTTTCCGTTTCTCATCACCTTGATTAGCTTTTGGAATGCTTCTTTCTAGTCCAATCCGTGTTCGGATCTCGGTGCCGCATATCACATAGCAATCCAACCCTCTTTTTCTTTGTTTAGAATGAAATGTTTCCGTTTCTCATCACCTTTATTAGCTTTTGGAATGCTTCTTTCGCTAGTCCAATGCATGTTCGGATCTCGGTGCCGCATATCACATCTCATAACTGAGGTTTATGTAATAAAAAATAAAATTTTAACTGTGGTAAATAAAAACTTGCTTTAACAGCAACACACCATGACATACCGGCTGGTTTGATTGGACTTTAATATCTGTAAGGAACTTTCCTCTATGTGTTATTTTCGAAATCTCCCAATATGCAGCCGACTCACCCTAAGAGATACACAGGCAAACATCTTTCTTGTCAGTGCCACAGCGACAATCAGAAGGTCGCCTCATATTCACGGCGTGCAGATTCGCGCCTCGCAGGATGTCAGCGGCGGCCCCTGACATCTAACAGATGGCCGACTTAATTGCGCTTGGGTCGTGTGCACACATGTGGAAATCGGATAACAGGATGATACGATATAAGCACTCGACCTGAAGGGGCAAAAGAGAGAAAATTTCTTATATCCACGTTCGAAGAAAACCCCTAAAGCCACACACTCCCGTGCCAATATTTAATTGCAGAAATCCGGGGGATAAGTACACAATAATTTCATCTGTTTGTCTCATTTTGTATATGTGTGCATGTTTATTTATTTATTTTTGTTATTTTAACTGAATATGTAGTTTTTTATATATGTCTATCGGATTTTTTTCGAACACGGTCAGCACGTTATGGCCGTGTTCAAAGTTGATATTATTGAGTGTTGGATGAGGCTTTCCAACGTTAACGTTACAGACGTTTCGGTGGAATGAAAACTGCTAGTTAAGTAGCTGTTAGACTGCTGGCTATTGCTATTGTTTCCACTTCTGCAGACAGCTGTCTATACCCTGGCCTTATCTCAATAAACTGGATTATAAAATTTAATTTTTGTTTTAAATATTAATCCGCCATTATTTCCTGATAGCCATGTGCGCCCACTCAGTGGGAATTCATCGTGTTTAAATTCTCCGTATTATTCGTTTGTATAATGAAGTCTTGTTTTTTTTTTCTTCATTTCCTTTTTTTTGGCTATTCTATTCTTCCGCCATCTTTTGGCGGGAACTTCACGAAGGTTTCTGATAATAGCGATGATTCTGATTAAAAAAAGTATTATATAATATTTCCGTTTTGTAATTGTATGCTTTCCTTTGAAAACTTAATATCAGAGACGGATTTAAGCGAATAAAGACAAAAGGAAAACTTATCATTTCGTCCTCTTATGGACTTCAACGAGGCAAATATAAGCAATTTATTTTGTAACAAGTATTTCTAAACAAAAGTAAAAATATTGCTAAATTTACGAGACGCTCATAAATATTCATCAGGTTAACTGAAAAGTCAAGTTAAATTATGGTGGATGCTAAGTGACATAATTTAATGTTTAATAAAAGTGAGTAATGCGTTTTTTATGGATTTAATATTTAAATTATTTTTAGCATGAAATTAATTTATATATTATAATTTTAAATAATCGAAGTTTATTAATTTTACTTTTTTAACATTTTTATGGTTATATTTGCTTTGGATAAGAGTAATTCTTTCAGGAATGGACACATTTTAAAAAAATCAGGGGCGCAGATTGATATTTTGATAAGATTCGATACAGGCACTTTGGAGAATTTTCAGTCGAAGTGAGTTTCTCTTTTAATAAATGCGACATTATTTAGATAAATATTGTAGCTGAATTTATTTCTATGTCTAACTAATGCATTTGATAAATTGTTGTGTTTCTCTTCATAGATACGTTTTTTTTTTTTTTTAATTTCTGGAAGTTTCCCCAATGTATTGCGAAGAGCAATCATGACAGCTTATATTATATATGCTTACTTCAGAATTATTATTATTATTATTTTTTGGTTCTGATCATACCCATAACACTTTTGGATTTATATATGTACGGCTTTCAAAATATTCGATTATTTTTCTTTAATATATATATATATATATATATATATATATATATATATATATATATATATATATATATATATTATACTAATAAATAAAAAAACCTCGGATAACACAAGTTGTAAGTATATCAAAACAAATTGGTATCCGTAGAAAAAAAATTGGAAAATAAGAAAGAATTAGAAACATCCGAACAGGGCAAAATAAATCGTGCAGTGCCTTAGGTTTTTAGTCCAAAGATAAAACCCAAGCGAGTAATAAAAGCTAAAACATAGAGTGCTCAATACGTTAAGCAGAGCTGGAATAAATAAAATAAATCCTAAAGAGCCAGGGACAACCTACCTGGGTTTCACCTAAACGGATCTTCAGAGTAAGCTGGTTAAACTGTTCCTGGCTCTTTTAGCATTTATTATATATATATATATATATATATATATATATATATATATATATATATAATATTATAAATTAATTGATTTAAATATTTTTTTTTTACACAGTTCTAACCATGTTTCAAAAAATTTTTGAAACATGGTAAGAACTGTGTAGCGAAAAATAAACCATATTTTAAATCAATTAATTTATAATATTAATGCTCTGTAAATATACATCGAGCACTATTTTGCAAAAATAAAATATCTATAAGAACACCGGATTATATATCTTACTGTTCTTTCTTTATATATATATTTATATATATATATATATATATATATATATATATATATATATATATTGTTAAATGTAACCAACAATGAATGTCTATTATGTCTGATCATGAGCCGTTCTAAACTTCGTATGTTTGCTTTACTCTAGGGTGAAAATAAAGACAAAAATTGTCCAAATTTGGATATTTTTTTATTAAATTGATCCTTGATCTAAGCTTTCGGCTCACAAGAGAACCATCTTCAGAGGGGTTATACGCACATTTAAACAAAGATATTCACTATCAAAAATGATATTTTGGTATGTTAGTACACTAAACAAAATTATATTTCAAACTAGTCACGACACATTGCATTTCATCTAGACATGTGCTTCTGACGTTAGTATTTCGGTCTCTGCCGTGGTATTACGTTATAGAACCGCTTGACGAATTTAAGACCAGTGTCTGCTATTCTGCGACCGTTATCGTCGCATAGCAATCTTCTATGTCAACAAAATATTATCTTTGATGGTGAATATCTGTGTTTAATACGTAATAGACATTCGTTGTCTCTTATATTTAACAATATGTTTAAATATATATATATATATATATATATATATACTTAATAGAGATCATATAAGTATAACAAACTATACTCGCTTGGAAAACCTTCGGTATATTAATTTGCAAATAAACAAGCCAATACCAAAGGGAAAAAGGTATATAAAAAAAAAGAACCAAGAACATGTATGTTAATCGAAAATAATCGTCCAACATACGAGTCTAAGGCCCAAAGAAAAAAAAAAAAAAACGATTCAGTATCCAAAATAACTAAATAAAGTGCTCAATACAATGAGTAGAGCAGACCTAGTTAAACCTAGAGAGCAGATAAACCTACCAAGGTTTCACCTATGCGGATAGTCAGGGAAGATGATCCGCTGAGGTGAAACCTTTGTAGGTTTGTCTGGCTCTAGGTTTAAATATATATATATATATATATATATATATATATATATATATATATATATTTTTGTGTGTGTGTGTATTTTACAATGATGTATACCCTGTACAAGGCTCAAAGGACACTGGAAGTAGAGGATTACAGAGTAAGACACACAGCTTAGGCGGATATGTGCAGAAGATAACGGTTAACACCAAACTTGAACAGGTTAAGATTGTAGCAATCGGGGAAGCATCCTCTTGGGAGCCAGTTCCATGAGGCAGTGTTTCGTGGGAAGAAGCTGCTTGAGGGGAACTTATCAAATCAATAAGAAGGGCATGAGAGTCGTTCGCTATTATGTACGTGGCATGGAAGGTATTAGCAGCAGAGGCAGGAACTGGTAGAACTAAGGAGTGTAGTACGTCTGAACAACCCTCCATAGAAACAGCGATAGAGCAGCGAGAAGCTTGCGTCTTTTGCAGAGTGGAAAATAAAGGACGCGAAGACGCTTTTGGACTCTATTGAGATTGGAAAGCAGTCCTCCATTATCAGCCCTATCTGGCTTTTGTAAAGATAGAGGATAGCAAAAGGAGTCAGGTACTTCCTGGAGTGGTACAAAGAACCTTCCATTTTCCCAGCATCTTTAGCGATGGATCGTATGTACGAGTTCCTCTTGAAGTCTGCGCTGAGCGTAAGGCCCAATAAACGGTCAAAGCATGGGATCTCCCTGAGGGAACATCTATTCATCTCGACTGGTGATAGTTCTGCATCCAATCAGCGATGGTTGGTTGAATGTCATAATGAATATATTTTAAAAAACAAACATTTAAGTGATAAAAACACACACACACACACACACACACACACACACACATATATATATATATATATATATATATATATATAGAGAGAGTGAGAGAGAGTAGGAGGCATGGTGGAGTAGGGGATAACGGTTCGGATTGAGGAATCGGAGAGCCGAGTTTGAATTCCAGTCGAAGCCATAATGTGCTAATACCCTTGGGAAAGGTACGAATCATGTTATTCTCTCCAGATATGGGTAAATAGCAGGACAGACTGGGTCTTATAGCCTTGGATGGCAACCTGAATTCAAAACCTGAGGGAGGGTCGATTGGGGACCTTGTGGCATATAGTGTACCATGTGTCTGTGTTCGGCTTTTCAAAAAGTGTGGTTGATTCTGCACAAAGCCTTCACCACTATAATCAAATCATTTGTGCTCGTGTCTGGGCTGTCGGTTACTAGGAACTGAGCTGCTTGATCCTCATACGTCGAATACGACGGGAGAGTCCACCACACACACACACACACACACACACACACACATATATATATATATATATATATATATATATATATACACAGTAAAAGTTTGTCACTTCGCTGACTGATGTTACCTTTAGCTTCCCAACTCCGGAGTTTCGCAGCCTCTCCGTCTACTCGTCAGGGGATATCAGCAATTTTTTTTAATATTTTTTCCTTTTTATACATTTGACATTGATGTAAGCCTTTTCTGTATTTGTGTGCGTTTGTGTGCGTGCAACCATACGCCCGTCTCTTACGGTCGTATCAGGTTGAAACACCACTTCTCTTACGGTCGCTGAAGTTACGCAACGTCTAGATTAGGCAGTACTTAGGTGGGAGATCGCCAGGGAATGCTGTAAATTGGATGTGCGGGTGGTGTAATGGGTAATGGCTCAGAAGTGGAAACACACTTGGGAAAAGTAACAATCTAATACTTCTTCACTTCCTATCTAGGGGTTAATCAGTAAATCTCCCCCACCCCCCAAAAAATTTGCAATCTAATAAATAAAAAATTAAATAACTAGAAAACGGTTTAGTCTTAAAGCATAAATCAATTAATCTGCTAATTAATCAATATCTGTCTATATATATTTTAAGACATTTTTTTATGTTTATAAATTCTTTTTTATAGACACAAATATTTAAGTAAATGCTCTGTTTATAATAAACAGTATTAAACAACATTTACCGGCCTGAATGTCCGAGAAATTGTCATAGAAAACATGCGTCTTCCGACAGGAATCGAACCTGTATCCTATACGGAACCGTCATATGGCCTAACGTGCTTTGACCGATTTCGCCACAGAGGAGCGTTTCGGTTTTACTGTTTTTAAACTGCAATTTTCCATGATTTTCTCAAGTACATTCATATCTGCTCGATGCGTATCCAAATGTAAACAAATGACGTCACACATTATGAAATGGGCAAACTCCGACAATTATTTTAAGACAATTTTATGTTTGGACATTCTTTTTTATAGATACAAATATTTAAGTAAAAAACAAATCTATTTGCATACCTGATGATATCTGTATGAACAGATGAAAGCTTTTAAAAAACTGTTATGGGGTCCACCCCTTTTTTCATATAAGTGGACTCTACCAGTGTGCCTGGACCACTGCCGTTAAATACCCAGAGTTAGACAGTCAGTGAGTGGTAGTCGGAAAGAGAGAGAGAGGGAGAGAGAGAATATACGAACGGAGATAGTGTGAGGTAACCTCTCGTAGAAGTCAGTTACAAGCACGTAGACTCTAAGGAAGTCCTACTTCGAGACTGTATATATCTATATGTTAATGCTACTAACCGTGTTCCTGGATTTACTAACAGTATTACCCTTTGTATGATTGCGTAAATACATTTTATTTCTTATATTTACTTATTGCGTTTGTCATTCCTTGGAGACCGAATTCATCTCGGAATCCACAACAAAAACTAAAAAAAGACCTTATGCAACTGGAATTTATGAACAGTGATCATAGCATTCATCCACAGGTTCGGGGTTAATGTACTTTATTAAATTTGTTTGCGAAGATTTATTCTCGCCATTTAAATCATTAACTTCTATATCTGTTTTTTATGAATGATTCATGCAATGCAAATTGAACTGCAGACACTTACTTGATATATATATATATATATATATATATATATATATATATATGTGTGTGTGTGTGTGTGTGTGTGTGTGTGTGTGTGTAAAAATATATAGAAAATAGGAAAAGAACTCGTTAGGTAAATAATCCAAAAAGAAAAATAAATTTGAAGATGGAACAGAGCTTGGTAATTTAAGTTTTCGGCTCCTGTTTTGAAACATGAGAACTCTTATGTAGCGATGGAATCATATTTTTAAATAAATAATTATATATATATATATATATATATATATATATATATATGTGTGTGTGTGTGTGTGTGTGTGTCTGTGTCTGTGATTCTGTGTGTGTTTGAAGAAGTTTCTTTTTTTTTAGAAGTAGATTGAAACCATTTAAAGAACAATCTTATACGAAAGGAAATAAATTGAAAAATGTCAAATTGAGACTCGGGCTATAATCGGAACCTTTTCGGTGTTTTGTCAATTCCATTTTTTAAATTCGCGTATAATAAAATAAAATATTTCTTAAATCTGACAAAGAACTCTCGGGCGTTCCTCCGGATTTTATTGATTTGAAAAGCCAAAATAAGACTTTTTGGTTGATATCAGAAATGTTTTATTCCCTCTATCCGTACACCAACCAGCATCCATCTGTTCATAAACACTTATAAAAACCTTAATTTCTATCTATCTATCTATCTATCTATCTATCTATCTATCTATCTATCTATCTATCTATCTCTGCCTATCTCTCTCTCTCTCTATCTTTCTATCTGTCTGTCTGTCTGTCTCTCTCTCTCTCTCTCTATATATATATATATATATGTGTGTGTGTATATAAACATAAATATATATATATATATATATATATATATATATGTGTGTGTGTGTGTGTCTGTGTGTCTGTGTGTGTGTGGAATATATGATATATATATATATATATATTTTATATATTTATATATTATATTAGAAATATTATTATATATATATATATATATATATATATATATATATATATATATATATATATATTTCATTATATCACTTCCGTTAAGTTAACCGTTTAAATAGGTCAAGGTCTGGTCCCTCCTCCCCTAATACTAAGTATGATGGATAGAAATATAAAAATAAACCCTCTCTAAACTCGACCATGTCTCTCACCCGACTCCTTGCTACCCCATTTGTTAAATTGCATAAACTTAATACTACCCGTCAAAAGTGTGAATTTTCATTTCATCTTTCGTTTCATTTTTTGGAAGTGCTATCTGATGATCCAGCGTCCCTTAAAAGGGCTCTGGTGAAATAAATTATTATAATGGAACCTTAAAGTGGTCTGTTTTTCTTTAATATATATATATATATATATATATATATACGATAATTGTGTATTTGGGCAGCAAACACTCTTTTATAGATGTTTCGTTAAAAACGACTGCAAGGAAAGTTGGCCCCCTAAGCCGCGTTAGGAAATTTTTCTCCCCGGAATCGATCCTCCAGATCTACAAATCAACAATTCGCCCTTGCATCGATTATTGCTGCCATATATGGTCTGATGCCCCTTCTGTCTGCCTTGGGGTTCTTGGTAGGCTCCAGAGGCGGATATGCAATGTGGTTGGCCCTGCCCTGGCGTTTCGTCTACAGTCACTTTCTCACAGACGCGCCGTCGCCTCCCTCTGTCTGTTCTACAAATACTTCCATGGAAATTGCTCCGAGGAGCTGCATTCGCTGGTTCCCAGACTTCATGAGTTCAAGCGACCTACGAGGCTGGCATCCCACTCTCACCCCTTCACTGTCGAAACTCCTAAATGTTGCCGTCTCTTCTACTCTAATAGCTTCATATCTCGCACCTCTCGCCTGTGGAACTCCCATCCCTTCTCCTGAGTTTCCCTGAGAGCTATAATCTCCAGCTATTCAAGTGTAATGTCATTCGACATCTCCAGTTGCCTTGATCTATCCACTACCCTCATCCTTTCTTCTGTCACTCCTATCTGATCTTGCTCTAAATTTTCTGTAACCCCTTGCGTCCTAGTGGCTTCCCGCCTTGCTTGGGGTGAAATGCTTAAAAAAAAAAAAAAATACTGCGATTAAAATTTCTATTTAATTTTTCTTGTGTAGGTAGAAGTGTTTCCTTTCTGGGCACAAAATGTTTAAAAACTGTCCAAAATTGCTGCACATCCAAACGTTTTCGGCTATTCTTTTGGCCATTATCAAGGATGATATTTACTTTTTTATTTTTGACTGAATTTTTTTTTTATGTATGTGTCTGAAGTTATAGCAATGTTTTATTTTCTAAACACGGTCAGCACGTGTTGGCCGTGTTCGTAGTTAATGTTATTGAACGTTGGATTTGCCTTTTTTTATTATTAGGACTTCCATTATTTTAATCTATTTTTTTTTTTTACATGGGGAAGAGGTTATTTTATTTGTATTTTTTACTAGTATGTTTCGGATGTACTTTGTGTATATTTAAATGAATTCTAATTTAGCTATTGTCGGGTAGGTGTAACATTCCTATAACGCGCGTGCGCGCGCACACACACACACATTTGGCGTTTGTTATTTATTGGTACCGGATTTCAACCCGGAATCCACAACAATATGTATATAAATTTGTTGTTTCACTTTACAATTTGATTTTCTTATTTTATATCCCTCTTATGGGGGGCTATCTAACTCACAAGGCCAAAGTAACCTGTTTCCACACTCATACACTTCACTATAACTTATAAACCACTATAAAGTATTAAACAAGTAAACTCCAACATTTTAGGGTTTTAAATTATTTAAATACGAAACCCTATTAACTTATGCTATTTAATTAAAATCGTTGGTTTAAATTTGTTAAGTCTTTTGCGGATGTATGATGTGTGTTGGGGAGGAATAGAAGGTTTGAATTAACAGAAGGTTTAAAATTGTGTGTGTTCAATAATCTTCTATCCACAACAATTAATACAAGATAGAGAATAATGATTCATAAACATCTTGTTTCAAAACTTAACAATTGAATTTATTAATATTTGATATACATGCATGAATACTGAGTGAAAAGGTTAGACAGAGTTGTGTCTCTTAGATTAGGTAAATATTTGTACCTAAGTTCATAAAGTGAAAGTAATTATTAAACTGTAGTTTAGAAGAATAAAGTTTCTTTAGCATGTTTGGAATTGTGTATTGTACAAGTTGGTAAAAGTTCAGAAGAGATTTCAGAGTTCGTACTTGCATGAATGTTGGTAATGGTCTTTAACGTCTGACTGCTTTAGTTAAGACGGGGGTTCTTAAAGATTACATCTTGGCAAACGAGATGCGAGAGAGAGAGAGAGAGAGAGAGAGATGAATAGAAAACACAAGGGAGTTTACACGTGTTCTGTTTATATATGGCCGTGTATCACGTGGAAGGCTCCGAGCATATTGAGCGAGAAAACAGATTTGTCGCGTGCAGGCGGTTTGATTGGTCGGAACTGACCAATCAGCGAGCTAGATTGAAGGTGATTAACCAATGAATGCTTGTTATATATTTTGTAAGATTGTGATGGTGAAAATTACAACAGGAATAGTGCATTTTTAGCAGGGGTTAACTGGCTGCTGTGGAAAATTCCACAAGTTCTTAATTCGGCAGAACCCATCTTTGTATATTAGGTGCCGCCACGGACTCCCTAAAAAAATAACAAGAGAAAAACGGATTTTTAGATAACTGAAATGCCCTCTTTGAACTTAATTTCCTTCCCTATTTGAAAGATAATATCCTAAAGCTAGTCGGAAAGAAAAGAAAAATTAATTTCCGTGTATAAATAAACTTTTTAAGCATCTTAAAAACATTGGCACGTTTTTTTTTTTTCGTCACTGATCGAGCCGCCATTGTATACGAAAAAATGTAAACAACACATTTAAAATTCTCTTTAAAATACAATATTTGTCCTAGAGATGCATTTCGCAGTCTGTTTGTAAATTTAAGACTTAATTAATCGGATTTTCTAAAAATAATGCTTACCTTTTACTCAAAGCAGAATAAAAACAGCATTTTATTTACACACGGAAGCCTGTAAGCAAAACAAGTAACGAAATAGCTGTATATAAATAAACTTCTTTTTTTAATAAATTATTTTATTTTCACCTTTTAGAAACTGTTACTTTATTTTCAGTATGGTAGTACAAAAGGGGAATAATTCTGATATCTCGCTTTGACTAGGCACCTCCACTGAATTTTCGATACCCAAGGTTTAAAATTAAATTTTAAAAATGAAAAAGCATTCCTGAGGATTTCATTTTAGTTTTAATTGAAAGCTAAATGATTATATTCATTATTTCCAGTAAGTAAAATATTCTGGCGTATTTCAGATAGCAAATATATAGACTGGAATGTTAAATAATTGTTCGATTTAAAAAAAATTAAAATGCGGCCATTTTCTTAATTTAGTAAAGAAAACAAATTTAATCTTCATTTTTAAAGAAAACAAGTTTATAGGTTTTAAAATTCTTCCAAAATAAAATTATAGATTTGGGACAGGTTCACTATTTACAGTATTCGGACTACTGTCCTCATCTGTGTCGCCATATTTATTAAATATGGCGACAAAAATGAGGACAATAGTCCGAATAATGTAAATAGTGTACATAATACCTCATCTCAGAAATATAGACAGATACTGAAAGGCCGAAACGTTGTAATAAATATGGCGACAAAGATGAGAACAATAGTCCGAATAATGTAAATAGTGTACATAATACCTCATCTCAGAAATATAGACAGATACTGAAAGGCCGAAACGTTGTAATAAATATGGCGACAAAGATGAGGACAATAGTCCGAATAATGTCAATAGTGTACATAATACCTCATCTCAGAAATATAGACAGATATTGTTACACGTTATTTGAGCAAAATTAGAAAATTTAAAGTTAAATTTATTTGATTTGAAATTAAAAAATTTAAAGTTATATTTATTTGATTTGAAATTGTCGGAGTTAGCTCCTCCTTAATTCCCTAATTATTCACTAGGGGTCTTTCTCCCTACACTATAAATACTGGGCGACATCTCGCCTCGTTCTCTTTTTCATTTCTCCATTTCAGCGAACACCTCTACAATGTGAGCTCTCGCCAAAGACAGCGTTTCCCACTTGTGGGAAGACACCATGAACATTATACACACATACACGTACGTACGAACATTCGCGACAAACATTCACCAAAGAAGAAACACAAATGTTCACACACGCAAAACTTATTGTCTATGTCCATTGTAGAATTGTGTTGTTTAATACATATATTTGTTGACAGATATATATATCGGTCTTGTTTGTTTGTTTTCTTTTCATCTTCGGTTGGACAAATTAAGACCACCATTTTCTTGTAGCGGGACCTTCTAGCAGGATATAAACGAACGTGTTCCCAATTCGACAACACTCAAACCACCGGTCCTCTACAAAATAAATATTACTTATTGTTGAAACTTGAATAAAGCATGGACTAATAATAATACAACACAAAATGTACTTAAACAAAATGTATTGACACAAGAACGTGTACACAATATTTACAGATAGTTTGGTATATTCTTGGGAAGACCATTCCTGTAGAATGGGTTGACTTAGTCGCAGTCGGGCAGAGTCTCTGGATTGGATCTCTTCTTCCTCCCCCGTCTTCCCGGTACCGACCATATTTATATGGTCGGTACTCCACTATGTAAATTAGGTGGATCGTACCACAACACTTATAGCATAATAAAAAAACAATATACAAGCATTTCTTTACGATGGATCTCCTCTTTCTTTGATCTT